CTTCTGGGTGGGTGAATTGTCATGCTCCATCAGTACGTAAGCTACAAAAACCACCAGTTGAGTTTGGTTTGTCCAAAGAGATCTCTCTCCATTTCTAAGAAACTGGTGTTTAAAAAGCTCCAGCCAGAGCTTTAAAATCATGTTGGCAATAAGGACAACTCCTGCTGGCCACACTGGTCCTGATACAGGCCAGGATGCTGGTGGCCTTCTTGGCCACCGGGGCACACTGCTGGCTCACGTTCAGCCGGCTGTCCACCTACACCCCCAGGTCCTTTTCAGGTTAACATCAGTGATTTGGCCACATTTATATTCAAATCATTATAATTAGAATTCTTCATTTTGAAAGAGTTGAAGTATGGTGGTACGGACATCTCTCTAACTGTCTGAGCTCAAGCTTTCTCTTTGGATCCAGCAGGCACCACAGATTTTCATTGAACTCTTAGAAACTATCAAATGACAAATCTCCCCGAGTGACAGGCAGTTCTAGTGCTAACTTAATCCTCACTTGCTTCCATAATGAGTTGTCGATATATCATCCTGAAAAACCTTTAAAAGCAGAAAAATCAAATATATAGGAAGTATTTTAAAAAGCAAAAAAAAAGATCATAGCACTGTTGAAGGATGTGCATTCATTTGCTCTGAAATGGTGCGACTTGTAAACACTTTCATTCACCGGTGTGATCGTAAATACTGGAAGAGATTTACAATCAGCAAGAAACACAATACAAGCAACTTCTTACTAAATTAAATGTGAAAGGGAATTTATCAGGCTAGGGCTTGAATCTTGGCTGCTTTTACACGACACTATTGAAAAGCTGGAGCTCAATAGCTGGGGTCAAGTTAAATGGTATAAAACCCTTTATGTCCAGCTTAAAAAAGCCAAAGTCACTTGAGAGATGGAGTCAAGCTGCCCACATAGACAAATTGTTCAAATCTGCTCCAAATTGTTGCATATTGATGACGTGTACTGCTAAATACTTCCCGTTTTCTACTTTAGTAGTGACTAAATTCAAATTTCAGGCAACTCCACCTTCCTGAGTTGGAAGTCATGGGGGCATCTGACTCTTCAAATCAACAGTGTTTACTTATGGGACAACCACTTGCCTGCACACGCACAACGCAGCAGAGAGATACGATGGTGGGTGGGGAAACTCAATTTAATACCCTGCCCCAGTTACTCTCAGCCCTGTCCCACAAGCCATCAGCCCACCACAGGCCCATCTCTGCAATCCCAGAGGAGTACAGAGCCCAAAGGCAGGTGGGAAACCAAGCTAAGGATTCAGAAGAAGGGACAACCCTGCCCTCTCAAGCTGTCCCAGGAGACCCTCAGCCCTAGTGGCTGGGTGTGACACCCATCGCGATGAGTCAACGTTGGCTGGAGCACCTTTCACAGAGAAAGTTGTAACTGCCATAGGACGGGGCCCTGGGCAACCTGGTCTAGTTGGGGGTGTCCCTGCTGACTGCGGGGAGGTCGGACTAGATGACCTTTGGAGGTCCCTTCCAGCCTGGGCAATTCTATGATTTTATGATTCTATGGGGCACATTATGGGATGT